CGCCGTAGTTAGGGGCTCTGCATAAAAGGAACAAAGAACAGAGAATAAGAATTTCAACCTATTAGAAACTGTATTCCACAATACATGATTTCTGATAGGTTGAAATTCTTATTCTCTGTTCCTATTATTGTGCAGAGCCTCTAAGTAACATGTAATTGTCATTAGAAAATCAAGCTTACACAGTCCTCAACTGAATACAGATGTGTAGCGTTGCGTCGATAATGGACAATTGGAACGCAACTTGTGTCGCCGTGTACACAAAGTGGCTAGGATATTGCAATTGGAAAGCACCCTTTGTTTAACATTGGCAAACAACAATGATGTAATGATCCATTGTGTCATACCGTGTCATTTGTGTCACTTGTTGAAAGGCATACAATGTGACTTAGCGTTCATTGTATCTGGATAAACAGTTTGCAAACATTCCTTAATATTTATCAAATTTCAATCGAAATTCTTGTTTTTTTTTTGTATAATATATCTATAATATATGTATAAATAAAGATGGAGACTGACAAGTTTTTTTAAGCACTAAAGACAGTGTCTACAAAATCATGTTTTAGAAACTCAAATGGGGCAGTTGAATTAACTCGTACTCAACTGTCATGGGTCACTAGTGACCGAGCGATTCCTTACTTTTTCCTAACTTATAAGTCTTTCGATAATTATAACGTATTCTACATTTTATTTTCTAAAATGAAGTTTAAACATTTGTTCTAGAAAGTTGAATATATGTTTGTGAAATTTTAGAGATTTTCTTGATCTATTTTAAATAGGTGAAAACATGAACGAGTCTAGTGATCCAAGATGGTAAGAATGAGACATCGAATTGATATCGTAAGGATTAAGATTCCAACGGAATCTCTTTCTCCATATGTGTTAATACGATATTACGATCCGTCTCATTAGGTAAACGCGCTCTGTCTCCTGTTTTCAGTGGTGTTCTCATGTCCAGACACATAACATCGGTGTTCAGAGAATGTTGTTTGTCTTCCAAATTGTTGTCGATCCGTTTAAGCAAAGATTCCAGATTATTGTAGTTTGTTCTAGAAAATTAAGTTTAAAGTTTGCACTTAAGAAAAAGAAATGACAAATAATTTTAATGATTGTACTTAGTAAAAAAAAGCTGCTTTACAACTCTGTGTGTGTGTGTGTGTGTGTGTGT